ACACCATCATCATCTTTTATTCTGTCGTTTTTGAATTGTGTATTTGGACTATTCTGATATACCTGGCTGCTATTACAATTGAATTTATCTCCGATGTTCTAACTATCTATCTATCTATCCATCTATCTATCTATCAATCAATCTATCTATCTATCATCCATCTATCTATCGAGTTCATGTTTTCTGTGATAATTATTGTTTTTTATTGTCCAACCCTAGAGAGACAGTGTGCATTGACGTGACTTATGGTTTCACTTTCATTGATACTTGTTCAGAGGGACAAAAGTGTCTCTAATATTATACTATCACATTTATAGAGCTGAACGTGAAGAGGGCTTACGTAAATATGAAAATCTTGTTGTCAGCTTAGTTTTACCTCCCCTGAGCCCCATTTAAAAATCCCTCATCGATTTGCTTGTATTTATTTAACCTGAAAACTGACCTCAGAAACTGAAACACTAGTTTTTTTGACCTTCACACAATAAACAGCTGAGTGGTGTCTCCCAGCAGCAGCTCTGAGGCTGAGACAGCAGGAGGCAGACACGCTGCACGTGGAGAGGCAGGATGCCCACGAGCACGCGCAGAGGAGGGGAGAGGAGGGGAGGGGAGGGTGTCCCGTGAGCGCGCACGGCCGGAGCTGCGGTTGCTATGATGCAACGCCGTGGGAAGCGAGGAGCGAGGAGTTGAATGAGTTCTCTGCACAGTTGAGGATCAGCAGCAGCCGACTGTACCCGGGGACGCACAGCTGGACGAGGGGACACACGAGCACACACAGCCGGGGCCCGGTGCTCGACATGGAAGCCCACAGCCAGGTGTGTCCGCTAGTCCCGCGGCTTACCGTGTCATGACGGTCGGAGAGATTTCTCCCACATCTGCGCGACGTTGCAGCGAGACAGGAGCAGCACCAACACCCTCTTCGCCCTCTCCAGCCGAGACCGAGTGAAGAGGAGGCTGTGTTTTATAATATCTCCCATCCCTGGTGGCGTTGTCCTCCTCCTCCTCCTCCTCCTCCTCACCTAGTGCTTCACACTGGACCACCATGGCAGAGAGGACCTCGACCGGGTTGCTAACGATGATGTTGGAGCCCACGCCGGCTGTCGCTATGACCCTGCCGGCGGAGGTGCGAGAGAAGCTGGCGGAGCTGGAGCTGGAGCTGTCCGAGGGTGAGTTGACAAGACAGACCGCTGCACCGCGAGGATCCAGGGACACACGCTGCTATAAACGGTGTCGTGTGTGTGTGTGTGTGTGTGTGTGACAGCCGCCACAACCACCGCCCTTTATCTTGGCATGTTTGAGGACATGTCAGCATCATCACCAAGCTGAACTTCTGCTGTAGTTTTCTCCTCATCCCTCTGAACTGCTGCAGCTCATGAGCTTCAGACACCAAACTGATCCACACCGGTTAATATGTGCTCTTCTGTCCCTAATGGAGACAAGCTGCTCTCATTGGCCTGAAGTTTTACGCAGCACACGTCCAGACTCAAAATGCCCTGCTCGATCAGATGGCTATCTGCCCTAACGCAGACCACTGAGCCGACACACCCATACAGCTGCCTCTGTTTTCACTCAACTGTTTCTGCTCTTTTAAAAGTTCAAAACACAAGAGGAACTAATGCTGATCTAAATGTTTTTCCACATAAACAGAAGACTGGTATTTCATATCTTATCTGACCAGACCACAGCTGCACAAAAGATCTTGTCTGTAAAACTTTTCCACTGTTGTAACTGGTGATGCAGATGTCATTAGTTTACCGATTGCTGACCATTGAATCAGAAGATCAGTAGATAAGTTGAACTGATGTGAAAAATGGCAACTTGGTCAGTTTTGTGTAAGTTAACGGATAACATTATAGGATACATTATAAGATACATTATGAAGTTTTGGTTGTAGATATATGTGCAGTTTGGCTGATATTGCTGATTTGTACATGTGTGTGTGTAGGTGCACATGTGTCATGCACAAGTTGCATGCAGCCTCTGTTTGACCGTCCACTTCCATGACCTTTTGTACAATAAGAGCCAAGAGTGGTTTTTGAGCTTGGATATCTTGTATGTCTGGGTTAAGTGCTGGGTAATATGACCAAAAAGGTTATCACAATAAATATGTTCACATCAGTCAAAATACATCATCGTGATTGAAGAAATCAGACAGTTATTTGTGGATTTTAACTTTACCTTAATGGTAACACTTGCTCACAATTCTTCACTAATAAGTGTTATATATCCGACTGTACTTCTACAACCCATAGGTATTACATTGATATATATTTAACTTTTGTTAAATTGCTATTGAAGAATTTAATATCACAATAGTTATTGTTATTGTTTTATCGCCATAGAGAAAATGTCAATTTTATTTGAAATAAGCAAATTATGTAGTGTACCTACCTGCTGACAGACACACCAAGACATCATATCATGAAATTTGCATCGATATGACTTATGCTATCTTTTTCCTTGTTATTTGTTCAAAGGGACAAATGTGAGTTTGTTTCACTGATATTATAATGTAACATTTATAGAGAGTAATGTGCAGAACAGATATGTAAATATGAAAGCCATATCAACATAGTTTTGCCTCCATGGAGCGCCATTTAAATAATCAGTCACTGATTTGCCTGTATTTGTTTTACCTGTCAACTGAAACATGCACACCTTTTTCTGTTTGGTGTTAAAGGGACTTTATTGAACAGATCGTCAGACAGCACTACCCACAGTGTATTTCACTCTAACCCTATATTTAGTTTTATGCTCCTTTCTTTAAGCCATTATCAAGTTTACAATTATACTAATTCTAATTAATGACCCACATTGGTCTGATTAGATTTGGGACATGACCCCAGGGTGTGACCCCATTTTCCAGGGTGTGACCCCAACTACATAATCTAATAAATGTAGTCCTACAACTTGAAATGAAACCCTCTGATAACTAGGTTATATTTTCAGTTAGTCAATTTTCACCATAATGGGTGAAGTGGTGGGATATGGATCAGACGGGAACTACATTTTGGTGCAGCTTTAAATATTGTAAAATCAGACAATATTTATAATGATATCTTCAACCTTGCAGGAAATAATGCATAGATCTTGAAACAATCAGACATATTAATAATGTTGCGATCGAGGATTGTGTATATTTTGGTGCTACTTTCTTTTTTACGAGCCAGACATACAGTATGTAGAATTATTTGGCCTGGGTGGAGGTATGCATTCTACTGACTACCATTCAAGTTAAATTCTACATTGAATGTTTTCTTTCTCCATGTTGTCTTTAGTCGCACCATACCTCGGTTGGGAATAGACCAAAGGTGCACGCTTTGATAAGCACATTAACTGCCACTGAGGCCCCTGAAGGGATGGACATGTTTTCAGGAGCAGCTACCAAACCAATCTATATCTGGCCGGTTTCCTTTTCCTGCTCTCCACATGTCACATCCTGCTATGTTGGAGCTCTGATAGCTGTATCTCCCGGACTCTGTTGCCTTCTGCTTCTCTTTCTGGTTTTTCTCCCTCTGACATACTCTGTTGTCTGTTTGCCCACTGTCTCTTTCTGTGTCTGTCTCCAGGCCTCCCCACCTCCATATTTCCTCTATTTTCTCTCCGATCAAAGAAGAGAGTGTCATTCTCTTTCAGGCCAAACGACATAAACATATTTTTTTCACTCTCAAATCCTATTCCTGCATTTCATGGTGAACTCTTCACCTCACGCTGATGCCCTTTAGTTGCTTCCTCCATAGCATCCTGTCTCGGGATAGAATAGAAGACTTGTTTTATTGGAAGGAGATGAGAGCCTGACAATCCCGGAGGTTTTGTACCCTTCTCAATGAACTCTTCTTACAGGGACTTGACGTCAGACACGTCTGTGTTTCTTAGAGACACAGCTTAGTTTTTCACTGAGTGAGAGTTTGCAAATAGGTGTGTGTGAGTGTGGAGGAACGCTGTACTATGTACCATGAAGTTGAGTAGCTGTGTCATGTATGTTATCTTAAGCAGTTTAGCCATCCACAGCTCAGCTCGATAGTGTTCCAGCATCAGCATCTGAGGCCTGCTGATGTGTGAAATAAACAATCTGAGCTCTCTTATTGTGGTAATAATAAATACTGTTTCCTCAAGAGAGAGCTATTATTTTCAATTTTCTCTGGCTGTGTACTTAACTGTACAGTCCTTGGAAACATTTTTGTGGTAATGAGAACTTGCAACTCAACCATCCACTTATTTTTGATAACATGTGAATGTAGCCCAAGTTATTCTTTCTATTTCACTTGTATTGTGCATTTATTTCAGTCAACAACTTGACTGTTTTTAATGGGTCTATGGCAGTGCTGGGCCATTAAGTGAAAATATATAGAAACAGTTAATACTTTCCCCATGGCGCATTCACTAACTGTTGGGTTTTCGAGAAGTAAAACTTTGAAATAATTGTGATATTCGTTTGAAGTCATATCGCCCAGCCCTAGTCTATGGAGGTAAATACTTTAAAACCATGGTACTGTGAAGCAGGAGTTTTAAATAATCTGGATGCATTCACTGAGTAAATTCTTTAAATGTGGAAAATAGACTCTAAGTATGTATAAGAGCTGATTAGGTTTCCTATCCCCTCTAAAATCCTATGTATGTAGGAATAGGAGCAAATGCCCCTGTCTCCTGGATGCTGACTTTTTTACAGACCATTCGTTTCATGTGTTGGAGAAACACCGTAAAAAGAGTGCTGAAGCTGGAAGAAGGAAAATTGACAGAAAAAAATATTTGTAGAGATTTTAATTTCTTTTCTGCCTACCAAGGAAATTCAAGCTT